TGAGCCATGCATTCGCCATCCTTTTCAAACCACCGTTACTGCCCAGTTATCAGCTTGTGGAGAACCTCAGAGGATCCGATACCTCCAAAAAAGTGTCAGGGCGAATCGGTCGATCTAGTTTTTGAACGATGTGACTAAGACCTCGAAAATGTCTCGAGTTCGTGTTTGACATATCACTTTGAAAAGGCATTTTCCGTAGGGAACATCGTTTTGTTACTTTCTCGCAAGTGCCCAAGAGGGAAACTGTACCCAATGTGATACCTGTTAGGGGTAATTTCTGTTTGAAAGGAAAGCATCATTGTCCGATGACGCTTGAGATGGTTTCGACAACGTCTTTACGACCTATCATTGTCATCATAGATTGATGACTGGACAGGTGAAGAATGACAACAGAACCAACTATATGAATGTTAGTCTTCATCGATTTCCGCTTCCACTCAATGGGTCATTTCTATGGGTTGTTGGATGGAGGAGACATAGGAACGAGGCGGAGAGAAGCCTATTCATCATAATCCGACAAAAGAACTCTCTCCGTATTGTCGTCGAGTGGCGTCGGCATGAGTACAACAACCTTACGATTGTCCAGCTATAACTGCCGTACGTATGGGACTAGAAGAGCCCGTTGCTACTGCGTGTGTAGGGCTATTCGTCGTATCGAAATTACGTCGTTTCGACGGGACATTTTCATTTTTCGTCGCCAGATGTTCGTCGAGCTTTCTCGGCCATCAGCGGGCGACGGGCGTCGGCCGGCTCCGTGATGCCATCCGTATGATGCTGGTGGTTGTATAGTGTGNGTAGTGCATCTCACGATGGGGTACAGGGTTTGTTGTGCTGAACGGATCCACCCCATGCATCCATTGTTTACTTGCTTATTGTTTTTGTTTCCCCCCGCAGTAGTTATGCTATCGGATTACTTGTTCGGTCTCTTTGTCTTGGGATTTCCCTAAAGCCAACAACAGCTAATCGGCCTTTCGGCCAATAATCTCATTCCTCTCCTTCTCGATCCCTCGACAAATAATCCTTCGCATTTCCCTTTTTCTTGACCTCTTCACCATTCATTACCAGATTACTTTGACTACTTCCTATTTCTTCCCGGGGACTGTAACCCTTCTTTTTCAATTTTTTGAGCCATCATCTGAAGAAGTAAGTATTTGATGGAATTCTGCCAAAACTTTATGGAAATGCCGTTTCGCTCCTGTCGTTTCGTAGTCAACGCGAAAGTCGTACGAAAGGCCCTAGCGATGTAGCCCCATGATCTTCGAGTATTTGGATCATAGAAAATTAGATCGGGCTAGGTGAAGTGAGCAGAAGGACGTATAAATGAGATGGATGCAGAGTCCTACAGATGATACCGGCCTTTAGAGGCGTGTCCCAATTAAAATGAAATTTTTATGGAAAAAATCAAAAGATCATCTATTTTCATTTATTTATTTGTCATACCTAGAGGTATGAAAGGCCTCAGAGACAATGCAAAACTGTGCCCTCCTTTTTCTCCCATCCAGAATTCTAGTTTAAAATGCGTCTGGTTCAACAGATATTATTGGTGCCGATTGAAAGTAAACTCAATGATAGCCATCGATTTTTATTTCACTTTTATTTTCATTTCGAATCCGTTCCAATCATGGAAAATGCCATGAAATTTTTCTATCCATCCTCATTATCGTTTTCATTTTATTTTCCAATCAGTCGTTTATTCAGTTATCAATATATTGGTGGAACATGGCGAATAAGTCATTTATAACCATCTGGGTATGCTGTGCGTCTGCTTTCTTGGTCACTCAGTTCATTCCTTTTCTTCTATTTTCTTTCCTTTTTTCTTTGCCTATATCTGACTGCTCACAGCCTTCGATATCCTCCATTTTTCATTCCGACTATCTCTTCTACGTTATTCTTTTCGTCTTTTCATTATTCATCACTGTTTTTTCTCATCTCCTTACCTTTACCTACCTTTTCTTTTCACAAACTCACCTTTCCAGCCAACGGGACCTCTTTTTTT